GAAGAAAGTCCATGATCACGGTGTAATTTTAATGTCATTTCCAATTTCCATATGCAGTTAGAACATCTGTAAGTTGCATGAATTCTTTGGTTCTGATTTTATATTGATATTAGAGGCTTATCCAAATCAAGCATTTCTCAGAGCAAATAGATCATCTAATCCAAATTCCAGGGAAATATCATTAGAATGGAGTGTCGGTGCAACTATATCAAAATCAAGATGTAGACAGAGATAAAATACTGTAAGTAGGTACACCTATGATAGTACAGTAGTTCTGTAAAATAATACATACTGATAAGCTGTCATTCCATTTTCTAGTTGGCTATCTTATTCATAAAAATGGTACGTGATTTCTTGAGATTTTTCTTAGTAAATAGTATCTTTCCTTGATGTCATTTTGCTATCATATTTTCAATACTTTTACTTCAAAATATTTTATGGCTATATTATAAATTCATAAAACAGTAAACAACAGTTTTGTAATTCAAAGAAATTAGAAGCCTAGGGATTCTGAAATAAGAGTCACTATCAGAGATTAGCCTGGTGACATTTATTTGCAAAAGAAAATCCAGTGCAGTCAGTGAGAAGACAATGAAGAAAAACACAAGGGAAGATATGAGACAAAATGACATGATGAAGGCTCTACTGGGGATCCCTTCAGAGTGAACTAGGAGGCAATTTGGTTGTTGGTTCATATGGGCACTGGGTTGTCAGGTCTTTCCCAGGAGGGTACAATGGGGAATTAGGCTAGCATTACTCCAGGGAAGATGTAAAGGATCAACACTTGGTCTTTCCACTTCTGTCTTCTATTTCCCTTCAGCAATGATTTGTTCAAAGCAGAACAACGTTTCTGCCTTAAATCATCATTCTGCTCATGTGTGGCCATTAAGAAAATGAAACAGCATGCTAATGATGTGAACCATCACTCAAATCAAAACTGAAGGACAATCTCGATCGCATAAAGAACTGACCAAGAGGAGGGGAGACATTGAAGGAGTCCAAGGAAGCACACGACTTTGATCCCAATATTTGCTACTCCCTATGCACTCATATCTGGCAAATGTAGAACACAGGGGTAGAGGTTGAGGCTTATATGATAGCTCCACATCTAGATGGGACACTCTTTCTGTTTTCTCATCCACTGGGCTATAAGGAGTCCAAGCCACATGTACCTACCACCAGGAATTCAACCATGCTTTCTCAGCAACACTTACGTGTACCTTCTCAAACTGTGGGCCCAAATAAATTCTTCCTCCCTTAAATTGAATCTGTCATTAATCCTGTTACATCAATGAAAAAAGTGATTTAATAGACAAAAAGTGAAGTTGTTAGAGTTTGCTCTAAAATCTCCCTCCTTGGAGACACTGTTTAGAGGCATTTATGAAATAAAGAGAGAAGGCGATGGAATATATCATCATAGGTGATTGTCAATAAGAAAGAGAAAAGTAGTCTAAACATACATCATCAATATTAAGACTGTTTATTGGACACAAGTTCAGAAAATTCTCTGTGGGTGGCATTTTGACCCTGTTATAGGATAAGGTAATATAAAGGAAAACTTCATAGGCCAAGTCCAGGCTTCACTGGCTTTAATGATTCTGAAACAGCCTACCACCAAGTTCCTGTTAAACAACATGAAGTCACTACCATTGTGATCATACATTAAAGTAATTATCAACTGCAAAGCAAGTAGTAGTTGTTACTTATTGATAAGCTGTGAGATTTATGAAATCAATCATGGACACAGTAGAAGCAACTGGAGGTAAATAATTATCTCAGATTTTCCTCCATTTCCATCTCTATCTGCTCCAATGCCTCTAGTAATTTTTAATTTCTGAGTTACCTGTACAATGGGTAGACCAGATGAAGAGCTCTTTCTTACTTTTGGATTAACTTGTAATGATAAATATATTAAGGTAACTTTCTAAATTCAATGTATTTTGACCTGTAAACTCTGGAGAGAGTATAAAAACACTATGGCGGCTTTCTAATAGCAAAATGTACAAAACAGGGCTAGCAAGTTGGAGAAGTGGTTAAGAGCACTTGCGCTGTTGCAGAGGGTCTAGTTTGGGTCCAAGCACCCACATGGCCACTTACAACCACTTGTAACAAAATTTCCAGGGATTCCCACAGCCTGTTGTGAGCTCTATGGGCACTGCACAGACATACATGCAGGCAAACACTCATACACATAAAATAAAAACAAGTGTTTAGAAAAAAATACCAAACAAGATAAATATGATATTTACTTTAACAAGAATATTTGCTTTAAATATCTAAGTGATATTATAGTTTTTCATTATTTTCAGATTTAGCTTGCTTCTTCTAGTGACTTACTCTTGATTTATCTTATTACATTTGATGTTATTTAAGGAATTTGTCATTTCCTGTACTCAGGAATTAATAACATAGTATCATTCGTATATTGATTTAGCATGATATTATACCAAATGCTATTTCAACTCATAGTAGTAGCCAGGAGCGTAGCTCAGTGGTAGAGCCAGTGCCTAGTGTCAGTGACATCCAGGTATTCCGTAGTGATTTGGCTTTTGCTTCTCACTTCATACGCTAACCTCAGGAAGAAACCTTCAGTTCTTTCGGTTCCCTGGTTTAAAATACTAATCAGACTGCAAAGCCTCTTCAGTTTGTGCCAAGAACCCACACACCACAACTCTCTTGTTATCACCACTTTCTTGACTCTGATCTTTGTAAGGTCATCAGCAAATGGCAAGTTTCTCAAATAATACAACAAAATAAAATGAACCAAGGCAAAAATCACTAGAAGAAGCAAGCTTAATGACAGTGTTCAGTTTCCATTCTGCCTGACCCCTGGGCAGCACTGGAGGAAGCCATTTCATGTCTCGGACACTGTCCTCTCCTGCTTTTTGATCCATCCTTTAGGAGGACGCTTTGCTTCTCAGTCTCCTTTGCAAGGTAGTTATTTTCTCTCCTCCTAGAGAAAATTTTGAAGAGGCCAGGTTCTTAGTCCTTTGATTTCTGGCAAGTTACGCTGAACTGATGGGCGATCTCAGAGCCTCTTATTGAGCACATGGCTAAACAGTGCCCCAAATATGAATAAGGCTGACTGCTCAGATCTCTGTTTTTGTGTAGCTATCTAGCTGGCATTGGAAAGCATACATTGCCCCCTTCTAAATAGTGACCATACATTTAAAAATAATACTACTACAAGTTTAAGAAGAAAAGGAGGAGAGCTGCCATGACACTTTTTTTCTTTAGTTTCCTCTAGATAAGAGTTACATTGACCATGACTTAATATTGCTGTT